CGGGCAATCAGGCGGGGTACACCCTGGACAGAGAGCCAGTCCATCGCAGGGCAACACAGAGACACACAGGACAAACAATCATGCACACACACACACACCTAAGGACAATCTAGACAGACCAATCAACCTAACAGTCATGTTTTTGGACTGTGGGAGGAAGCCGGAGTACCCGGAGAGAACCCACGCATGCACAGGGAGAACATGCAACCTCCATACAGAAAGATCCCAGGCCGGGAAGGGAACCCAGGACCTTCTTGCTGCAAGGCAGCAGCTCTAACCACTGCGCAGCCCATCTGCTAAATACATAAACATAATCGTGCTGCAGACACGTGTAGTCAATAGTTTTGCACTTTAGTGCATTTTAGTTAAAATTTTAATTTTCTGTCTAAAACTGTCAGTGTTGTGCCGTTGTCAGGTAAAAACTCAGCACTGCATTTGAACTTAAATCTGCCATCGCTATTGGCTAAGAGGTACCCTAGAACATTAGCTGGTACCATATGATGTCACAATGTCGTTGTGAGCCTGTGTGTGTGTGTTTGTTAGCAGCTCCACCCTCTCGGTCTGCTAGGCACCAGCATTTGTTGCATTTTTCAAACAGGAAGTGGGAGTGGAGTAATACTCTGGTAGGGGGTGACTTGCTCTTTAAGATTCTTAACAATAAGAACTATATCTGCTGTATTTATTTGTAATAATTTCACAAAATTAAATCAAAGTTAATACAAATTTTGACAAAAGAAAACACTACTGATGTTTTTAACGTAACCTTGATTACTTACTACTTATTAACTACTTAAGGTAAATAATTACACCCCAGATGAGTTAAAGTCAAACTTTTGAGTATTATTTTTTCCGTTTTACTACCTGGACTGGCGATCTCCGTCTTCTGGATAAATTGGTTGTCGGGAAGGGTTAGGGTTAGGCTCTTTAAACACTAAAGTCAAGTTTATTTGTGTAGCACATTTACAAACGGGCCTGCACTCTTCTTCTGCTGCCGTTCCTGCAGCTGAATCATTTTCTACGTAGAAACACCTGCTGATCTGAGAGACATATTCACAAGAGCCTGGCCTTCAAACCACTAGATCAAAGGCTTCAGGTAAAACTGTGCGTCTTGCTGAGTTCTGCATCCACTAACCCAGAGAAACAGAACAGAAAACTTTCCAATTACAAACAGCATGGAGAGTTTTATCGTCACATGAAAAGCTGCGTGTGTTTTAAGAGGCTTATCTCAAATTCCAGCAGGAGAAAGCTCAACTCTTGTGACGTTTTGGCATGAGAGTGGTCAAAAATTAACTTGCAGGATACCCGGTCGGTGTTATCGTGTCCCGGGTTTTACACAGCCCAGCTCTCTGCTGCAGACAGCCACGGCGTGCAGCTGAGTGAAAACACCCAGGGAGGTGAGCTGCATAGCTGAACGGTGACTCAGACGGACAGCGATGAATTGCTCAGGTGGAGTTATGAGGCTTGGAACTGCAGCTCAAGGTCCAACAGAAAAACAAACACACCAAATATACTCCGCTATTTCACGCTCGCAGGTACAATCCATCATGATTAACTGGCAATGCATCCAAATAGAAGGAGATATGATAAAACAACCTGCTGCAGCAGCGAGCATTCCTTTCACCTGACAACACGCGTTACGCATCACCGCGGTACCCGATACTAGACTCTGAGGAACCTAAAAACTATTCTTAGGAAGGTTTGTTTCTCCACAAAACAGCAGAAATGTTTATTCTTTAGTTTCCTTTGTTACGTGTTTAAGACCGTGTAACGTTCTGCCGAGCGACTTCCAGAAGCCAAAAAACTTTAATTATTAAACATTTTCTGCGTTTACTCTTTAAGAGAGGAGGAAATACGCTCCACAGTCTGGACGACGGGTTCTGTTGCCGCCCGGTGAATTAGAAATTCAAATGAACATGGATAAGTGTGCTGCTCCTGTGTGCCCTGGGCAGGACAGCCCGAGAACAAAAGGTGTGCGGTCCCTCTTCATTCCTGAAAGTGGACGGTAATGGGAGCGTTTCCAACTGACTGCTGCAGGGAATTCAAACCATTTGCTCCTTGAATTACTTTCATGCTTTCATATCCTCAACTGTTCTTTTACCTCAGAAGAGAAGCAGGAAAAGTTCAACGTACTGACACGAGTTCCTTCTTCTCTGGGTCTGTTGATCTGTTTCGCCGGGGTTTTCCTCAACCCGGGAAGAAAACTAGTCAAACACGTTGATGAGTTTTTCCTGTAAGTAAAGTTAAGTTCAACAGCAGGAAAGATGTCAGCCGTTTTTCTTCATCTCCATCCCAAACACGCAGCTGTGGTCAAAGCTCGGACTCAAAACTAAACAGAGAAAAGGGAATTTACAGCGAAATGCCAACAGGACCGGCTTCTTTAGGACTTTCACCTTAATCTGCGTTGTCAGCAAAGTGACTTTAGATAGAAACAGATTCAACAACCACTGCGACGCGGCTCGGTGACAGGGGCGCCTCCAGAAAATTTTGATTGGGGTGGCCAGATGGGGCCAAAGACATTTTTGGGGTGGCACACCAAATTGGTCCTTGTGGTAATGCTGGGAGAATTTAGCCTGTGGCGATGTGCTGCATTGCACCTTTATTTGTTTTTATTAAAATAACAGTAGGTATAAATTTTACAAACACAAACATTTCAGAAATATACAGTTCAGTTATTTAAAATCGTATCCATAATTAAATTTAAAAATGTATTTTTAGGTTCATTCACCTGTTGCAGTGTTAAAAAATCTATGGAGATAAAAACTTTTTTTAGATGGTGAGCGGCAGAAACATACGCATTTCTTTTTATTCTGATTATTTCTTTACTCATTAATTGTAATTTTGTTGTTGTTTTATAATTATGTCTTGAATAAAGATGATCAATATATGATTTGACTGAACATTAATATGATTTGTTAACACTGGCTTTTCCTGGGGGGGACAGGAATTTTCTGGGGGTGGCCATGGCCACCCCTGGCTACCCCTTGGGGGCGCCCTTGCTTGGTGAGCTGAAGACCAACAGAACACTAGAGAAGCTTCCATTTGCTACATTCATTCAGAATTACTTCTGATGGGTTAACACATCATAAATCACATCTCATAAAAAAGCTAAATTCACATTACAGGTCCTACTAATTACATAAAATATGATGTCGTCATTTCTTTGCTTTACGACAGACGTTATGACGCGGAACGGCTTTACAGCACAAACCCAGATAACTTTAAAGTACTACTGATCCTAAAATATTTTAATAAATGGCGTATTTACCCACAGTTAATGAATTGGTCTCACAAAACACGATGGCTTTCTGATCAAATATGAACAATAGAGTCACTTCCTGTTCTCAAGTCAGGACTTTCCAAGAAGCGTTCAGCGGCGCAACGCGTCCTGTGTGACCACTTCTCAAAACCGCGGGTGCGACGCTGCGTGGCGCGTCCGCCTCTGGTGTGCCCCAGGCTTTACCGTCCACCGGGGAAGTCTGGATTAACACCTAAACCTTAAAGTGGCCGCCTGAACATTTCCTTCCCATTTTAGCTGTAAAAGAAACTTCTGTTAAACCATTACAAACATTTTTGAACCAATTCAATTTGATTTTTGGAATTTTTTATAAGAACTGATTCAAAATCGATATGTTTTTGACACAGCACTAGTCTCACAGCACACATCACAGGGAAAATTATTATTCAAGGTCCCGCCCACTTTGGCTTACGATTGCCCACAGGAAGGAGAGCAGAAGTCTCTGTTAGCAGAAGCTAACCATTTGCAATAGTAGCTCCACAACATGGCTAAACACGTTCAGGCTTGTGCCGTTTGTGGAGATAAAACATCAACTTTGCACTTTTTACCCAAGAAAGAAGAGTGACCGGGAACGAGAACAGTCGTGTTACTGATAGCCAATCAGAGGCGAGATGTTTGCACATCACGAAGATTAATGAGTAAGACTCCTGATCCTGAAAACACAGACTGTTAGGAGATGTGTGGACCTGACCTGATTGTGTCCACGTTCTTTGGTTAGAGAATAAACACAACCAGCCATCATTCTGGTCCCAGTTAGCAGTTGGCTGGGCCTCACGCTGCACTTTGACCTTGTACACCTTGGCAGGCAGTGAAAAGGATTTGGGATGAATCAGGCTTCTGGTTGGTGGGTCTGCACATCGCTCACTCCTTGGCGTTGTGTGTTTCAGGAATGTGAGTTTATGTTTCAAGACTTTGATTAACGGGTTTTAAACTCTTGCTGTTTGAGCTGAAGTTTAAAACATGTTCCCACAAACACCTGAGATGCTCCAGAGCTGGAGACACAAACTACAGACCGATCTTCTGTCTGTGACAACAAGATCCTCATCATCACTTACTACTTTATGAGTCGTGCAGCCGATTGTAAGAGCTACACATTTTCATGGTTTCCCTTGTAAAACTTAAAATCTTGAATTAGCGTTTTAATCCTGAACAAACCAGATTTGATCCATGTGAAGCGTGTTGTCCTCGTTTGAACATTAAACTGTTACACGACTTTGAGATTCAGACGGCAGCAGGACGAAGGTCATACTGGACCACCACAAAATGTATTAGCCTTCAAAAACAGGCCAGTTCTTATTTTTAATAAAAGTGTTGAAAAAGATTTAAAACGCTTAAACAGAGCCCTGAGTAATCTGTTTTTATTTATAACAACAGCATTTTTTTTACCCCTCAGTTAAAGAGCAAGTCACCCCCTACCAGAGTCTAACTCCACTCCCACTTCATGTTTGAAAAATGCAACAAATTCTGTTGCCTAGCAGACGGAGAGGGCAGAGCCACTAACAAATACACACACACACACACAACATTGTGACATCATATGGCACCAGCTAACGTTCTAGGGTACCTCTTAGCCAATAGCGATGGCAGATTTAAATTCAAATGCAGTGCAGACTTTTTACCTGACAACGGCACAACACTGACAGTTTTAGGCAGAAAATTTTCATTTTAACTAAAATGCACTAAAGTGCAAAACTATTAACTACACATGTCTGCAGCATGATTAGACACACATTTATATAGTTTATCAGAAAGAAAAGTTGATTTGGGGGTGACTTGTAGGGCTGCAACAACGAATCGATAAATTCGATGAAAATCGATTACTAAAAGCGTTGGCAACGAATTGCGTCATCGATTCGTTGTGTCGCACAACTCTTCCAAAAGCGCCCCCCCTTCCCGCCCACCGTTGCGCGCAGACAGATCAGCGCGAGGGAGAGCCGGCAGTTGTTTGGAAGAGGAACATGGCAGAAGCAGCGAGAGTCAAAAAAGTAAAAGCTTTTTAAGTTTGGGAGCATTTTCAGTTAAATCGGGCGAAGACATGCGTTACCTGCAACGTTTAGGTCAGACTTGCACGGGATGATGCAGCGTCTTAAACGCAAGCATGTCGGGATCATCAGCGGAGAGAACTCTGTGTCCGGGTAAATTAAAAACTTTTCAAAAGTGATTCATCCAAGTCCCGGATTATTACACAGGCTAGACATGCCCTAAGCTCGTAAAAAAAGAGTCTAAAGTCGTGAGCGCGACGCTTATTAAATGAGCGGGGGGACTCGCGCTGCTGCGAACCGGTTCCGCCCAAGGCCGGATTAACTGGGCAATTGCCCAGGGCCCACGAACTCTAAAGGGCCCAGGGCACGAGCAAAATACTGTATCTATAATTTCCCGCTTTATGAGGACTATGGTGACCGTACGTTCCGTTTTCCCCAGACTTGTCCACTTTTCACTCTCTGTCCGGCGCGTCCGGACTGCGGGTTCTTGTATTGATGAAAATGTCCGGCTTTTCATCCAGGAGCAGGGATCGAATTATGGGGGAGCTGTATATCCTACACATCCAGTAGGGGAGCCGGAAAAAAGTTTTCTATATTATATCATTTTTGGACTCTTTTGAGCAGAGAGCGGCACAGCGCATTGTTACGCAGCGATCCAGGCAGCTGCTTCCAGCGCACGGTCCATTCTCAAAGTGGCGCAACCAAAAAACTATAATTAGCACACGATCGTTCATGTCTGCACATGTTCTCTATTTTCTGTCTTATTTGTGCCTGCAGCGCTCTGCTACTGCGGAGCTCATCACCTGTGCTGCGGTGATTTCACCTCACGCAGCATCGAAAACGCGCTCTCCGCTTTGTGGTCAGGAGATCCCTTTGATCTGCTCAAAAGTAACTGATGAGGTGAACAAGTAAGAATCCAGGCAGCAGTTTTTCTGGAGAATTAAGAGGAGATGCAGGAAGATGAGACAGACAGGACAGGAAAATAGTTCAATAAAAACAACAAAACAAAGTGTTGAAAAGTAAAATGTAGGTAGATTTATCTCCACTACACGTTTTTACCTATAAAACAATAAGTTACACACATGTAATATTTATAAATTTGATACTATTCAGGTCACCTTCAACACTCAGTCACACACCCAGGGCCGTTTCAAGACATTTTGGGGGCCAAGGCAAAATGACCCCCCCCCCCCCCCACTGGGCTCCCCAGAAGCCTCTGTGTAATTCATACCCTCTCCAGTAGTGTTAGTTATACAGTGTTTATAAAAGCCCCTCAGACATTACTGACATGCTCTAATATTATCAGATGAAAAACTAAATTATCAGACATGCTGTCTCATCTGCTGCTTTTCTAAACTTGCAGAAAGTAACAAAACCATTTGAAAGCCACTATTTGTGGATTCTCTGAAAGTTTCCATGGAGTGTGTGACAACTTATTTTTTCAGTCATTTTTGGAAATAGTGATCAATTTTGATTAATTCACAGCCTATGTTTAATTACATTTAAAAATTAGTTGTTTGACATCCCCAGTTATAATAAATGTCTACAGATGAGATCAAACAAAACAGATGAGAATTGCCCTTAAGCTGTTTAATTGGACCAAGCATTTTAGGTCACAGATAGATGTAGCTTAGGGTCTCTGTCTATACACCTTATAAGACAATTTAGGTGATGGCATGTTGTTTTTCTGCTATTGAACTGTTTTCTAATAATGTTGTGTTAAATAAAGTGAAGGAAGGAGAGAAATAACGTTTCCCTAGCAGTTTTTAAAAATTTCCCCATGTAATCCGATTAATCGATTAATCGTGTCGAGACCCCATCCGATTAATCGATTATCCAAATAATCGTTTGTTGCAGCCCTAGTGACTTGCTCTTTAAATTTTGAGACAGAGTTCTATTAATAGAACACAAAAATATGAAGTCGCTGAGAAAACATGAAACTGTAACATGATGGGTGGATTTTTGTATCAGGAAGTTTTATTTATTTTAAACTTTTTGTCTTCCGGAGAACTTCTTCTGGAATTCTGCAGACAAACGAAACACACGAGTCGTTGGAGGAGGTGACTCGCAGTTTCATCAAATTAAATACTACTATCTGTGACTCAAAGTACAATGAAACCCAGAAAAGAAAAGAGAATAAACAGTTTCTGGCTGCATGTTGACGACGCACTAATCCACTCACACACAAAGGCGGAATAAATAAGCCACAGAGAAAAATATGTGCTCAAGAATTCCAGACGTGAAGCATTAAACGGATTAGGTGTCAAAGTCCGGAGAGTCTTGCGTAACTGGTAAAGATGGAAAGATGAAAATCCGCCCCATCTTTCCCACATGATATCATGAGGAAGTTCTTCTTATCATAGGAATTTTAAGCCGATCACACCGAAGGAATTTTAAAAAGAGCAACACAAGTACATCACTCCTCTGCTCATGCTGGGATGGATGCATGGAGATCACAACCAAAATCCGACCTCAGCATGGAAAACCTGCACAAACGAAAGGTAAAGAAGAGCCCGGCCTTTGAGCCGTAGCTGAAACGGATGGATGGTTAGGATTAGCGCTAACGTTTCAGCTCACAGCCTCAAACTCTCTAATCTGTGTTTTTAACAGATTCAACTACAGAAATGGGAACCTACTGAATCCGACTACAGGCAGATCCAACTTTAAACCAATTCAATGTTCGATCATCTGTTGGGCATCAAGACACCAGGCTCATCCCTTGAGCTATGGGGCCCGTTTGCTGGCCAACTGAATGAAACAGCACGTAACTGTTTAAAGAACAGCAAAAAACCTTTGGAAAGTCTGGGGGGAAGTAAACAATTAGAGTAGAAACATGAATAAGTACGAGTAATTTACGACACCATGTGCTGTTAAATAAGTTTATTTATCTTTTGTATGTTTGTTTATTAAGGGGATAGTTTAGATCTTAGTATGTTTATGTGGTGAGGTTATTAACTCATTCACTGCCAGCATTTTTACTGTCTTTTTTGAAGTCACAGAACATTGCACTCTTTGATGATAATGTCGACGCCAAAACTACCAAGACAAAGGGTACACTCACCTCTTACATCAGGAAGCATCAGTGCGTTTCGAGCTTTATCCATTCCTTCATAATCCGTTGTTGAATTGCGATCGGCAGAAGCTTTTCCAGTTCGTGCCTCACTTTGTTTTTTACAGCAGCGGCCCAAAACGATCTCCTAAAACATGGATTTTCTGCTTCCTGATCACGTGACGTGTGACGTACACGGATTAAGATCGGCTTTAGAGCTGAGATGTTTGTTCTCACGATGCGGGGGCTCGTTCCCAATTTCAAAGGTTTTAGACATTTAAACGAGTGCTATTTTTTAACCTGTAAACTGACTCCATGGTGAGAATTATTATGAAACGCCAGCCAGGAATAATGTACGCTGCAGCCAACTTCTGCTGTAAATAACAATGTCATGTGAAGTTCAAGGAAGGGTCAAAACGTTACACATGGCAACGAAATATCTGGAAACACTTGGCAACTGGCCTCCACTTAAACTAGCCGTTAGCTCATCAATCTAGACAAAACTAATCTACATTTCTCCAAACTAAGGTTGCTCACATGGCTATCAGGTATACGGATTTGTTCATAACATTTCTCCATAAAGGCTTTGTTAAACAGCGGAGCTGTCTCTTTAACGCCTGACACCTGTCAGGGGTCAAAGGTCGATACACCTGTCTCTCACATTCCTTACCTGTCCCGGGGGTCGATCCAGCTCGTGCAGTGGTTAATGTGATCAATGTAGTAAACTTTGCCATCAAAGTCTCTGGCTTCCTCCCAACCGTCCGGTAGTGGCAACTCCTTCCTCGGCATGTCAGGCGAGTCTCCATGTACCTATCTCCTCTCTACGTGGAAACACAACGAAGGGAGACCATCGCTCTTCTCTGTCATCATCAGCAGCGGAATCAGCAGTTATTTCCACCTAACGCTGTGCGGGCTGGATTAGGCCATCGTAATAATCCGAAACAGTCCACAGATTAATACCGAGGCAGCCCCGAAGCAGGCAGGGGAAATTGGAGCCGCTTCAGGGGGATGGAGAACTTCCAGGAGGCTGCAGTTCATCAGCATCCGAGCTAGAAACACAAAAACGGGGAAGACAACCCCTCAACACTGTCCGCTGTGCCTCTCATGGTGCTCCAAAACTTTCCAGGTCGTTTAAAGAAACTTGTAGGGGTCCTGGTGACAACTTTTAGGTTAACAAGAATTAGCCACGGTCCACAGAACACGGACACCGCTGCTCGGTTTTAACGGAAACAAACCGCAGTTTTATCCCCAAACACGAACAAGAGATAGGCGCCAGGACCGGAGCATCGCCGTTTCACAACAGGAACGGTTCCGAACGGCCCAGAAATTCCTCCAAAACTCCCGACGGAGCTCGTCTCCTCCGCTTTACCTCCAGCAGGCCACCATGTTCAGCAGCAGTAACCGATTTTAGCCGCCAGCCGCGGGATAGCGAACCCCCCGAGCTGCTCTTCTGTCCACAAACAGTAACGAGGTCACCCAAAGCGTTTCAAATCCCGTCAAACCAAAACAAACTCCGGAGAATCCCGTTAAAGTCCCGGTTCGAAGCGGACAGGAAGGAAGGTGCACGGCGGCAAAGTCGTTTCTTCAGACCCGATCACTTCGGTCAGCCGCCGTGTGCGTCAAGCAGCCTGCGTGCGCATCCACTCACTTCCACTTCCTGTTTCAAAATAAAACCAATGTTGACAAATCCAGTCTGAAACAATACAACTTCCGGTCCGAAATGTTTATGCAAGAGTTTCATGAAATGGACATAGAAATATAAAATAACTCAAAACACTGAATATTTAAAATAGGTTAAATCTCACATATCTGACAACAACATACTACAAAACATAGCATATGACATGAAAAAAATATACAAAATTGATTTTAAATGATCACAAACCTCCCATAATTAGCCCAGTCAAAAAAAAAAACCCAGAAAGAACTAAATTAGAGATACGATTTTGTATTAAATAAATTAATTAATTTGATCACAGCTCAATTTGAGTTTGTACATCACCATTTCAATTAATTGCATACATACATATCAAAAATAAATATCTGCATAATCACTGGGCCAATTAAAACAATATGATAAAGTTGCAAAATCACAACAAAAGTTGGACAAAAGTGAGGTGCACACCCACAGGAGGAGATCTGAAATAAACACTAAACAGATAACCAATGACGTGTTACAGCTTTGGGACATGTTGATAGATAAATGCGTAAATTGGAAAAAAGGTCAGACTAAATGTTTGACAGATTTTGTGTTTCTTTTTTCAAAGTTGCAGACGTAAAATGCAGTCTTGAACACTTTTCTGGATGGTCGGCTTGTTTTCTAAAGGATGATTTGCAGAACTTCCGCTTCTCCTGGTTGGCACAACCTTTTAAGAACCATGTCGCCCTCTAGTGGAAGGCTTTAGAATGGTCAGGCTTCAAAGGTTCTGAAGAAAGTTCGGAAAGATGAGTCCCAACGGGTCCTCCACCTGTCCGTAAAATATTTCCTTCACTGGAATAAGTGTTATATTTGTTCATCTCTGGTTGAAAATCTAAATTCTTCCAAAGTTCCTCCTTTAAATGAACCCAATCCAACCCATTTCTGTATTTGATCAGATTTAAAACCTTGTCTTAATTTCTAATTTCTCTGCTCATTTTGTTGTACTTGAAAATTAGACCTAATTGACTGAATATTTTATTTGTGACGATTACACAAAGATACCACTAATAATATTTGACGTAAATGTTGATTTTATTTATTCGCATTAAACAGGAGCGAATTTGGCCAAAGTTATTGAATTTATTGTTGTACAAGAATAAACAGTTCATGAATTTACTATTCAATATATTTCTAAAAGTTGAAATATAAAAACACAGAGAATAAATTAAACATGAACAGTTCTGAGACAATTCTGTTCATTTATACAGTGGTGTGAAAAACTATTTGCCCCCTTCCTGATTTTATTCTTTTGCATGTTTGTCACACAAAATGTTTTTGATCATCAAACACATTTAACCATTAGTCAAAGATAACACAAGTAAAACACAAAATGCACTTTTGAAATGATGGTTTTTATTATTTAAGGAGAGAACTAAATCCAAACCTACTGTTACAGCTACCAGCCTGGCCATTGGGATGCCGGACCCAGGATCAGCCAGCCCTGGTGATCAGCCTGACACCGCCCCTCCTCCTCCTCTCTTCCAGGCTGCTGAGGAGCACAGCTGATCTGAATCCTCCTGATGACCCACACCTGGATAAAAAGGCTGTGCCTTCAGCAGTCTGGGAGGACTCCTCCAGGCCTCGTTTTGGTTTCAGCACTTCGGTTGTGATGAGTTTTAACTTTTAAAGTTTTAACTCTGAGTGATCCATAGGGATCTTTGGGTTTATGTCAAACTTAGTTGACTCTGTTTTAAGGTCAACTCTGCTTTAGTTTTTAGACTTTTATCAACTTCGTTGCGATTTTAAAACACCTTCAGTTTAGGTAAAACTTTATTAAAAGTTTTAACCAGGTGTTTTATATAGTTGATAAGTTGTCTTTTAACTGTTAACCTTAGTGAAATTTGTTTAGCATTATTTTTAATAATGCTCGCCATCCGTTTGCTCTTGTTTTTACAACCTTTTATAAAAATTAAACCCATTTTAAATCCATTGTCGCATTTCTTATGTTAACTTACCCCCTCCTTCACATTTTAACACCTCCTGTCGGGGACATAACGCCTACATTGCCCTGTGTGATTAAGTAATTGCCCCCTGAACCTAATAACTGGTTGGGCCTCCCTTAGCAGCAATAACTGCAATCAAGCATTTGCAATAACTTGCTACGAGTCTTTTACAGCGCTTTGGAGTTTTGGCCCACTCATCTTTGCAGAACTGTTGTAATTCAGCTTTATTTGAGGGTTTTCTAGCATGAACCGCCTTTTTAAGGTCATGCCATAGCATCTCAATAGGATTCAGGTCAGGACTTTGACTAGGCCACTCCAAAGTCTTCATTTTGTTGTTCTTCAGCCATTCAGAGGTGGATTAGCTGGTGTGTTTTGGGTCATTGTCCTGCTGCAGCAGCCAAGATCTCTTCAGCTTTCGTTGACGAACAGATGGCCGGACATTCTCCTTCAGGATGTTTTGGTAGACAGTAGAATTCATGGTTCCATTTATCACAGCAAGCCTTCCAGTTCCTGAAGCAGCAAAACAACCCCAGACCATCACACTACCACCACCATATTATACTGCTGGTGTGATGTTCTTTGTCTGAAATGCTGTGTTCCTTCTACGCCAGATGGAACGGGACATTTGCCTTCCAAAAAGTCCAACTTTTGTCTCATCAGTCCACAAGGTATTTTCCCAGAAGTCTTGGCAATCATTGAGATGTTTCTTAGCGAAATTGAGACGAGCCCTAATGTTCTTTTTGCTTAACAGCGGTTTGCGTCTTGGAAATCTGCCATGCAGGCCCTTTTTGCCCAGTCTCTTTCTTATGGTGGAGCCGTGAACCTTAATTGAGGCAAGTGAGGCCTGCAGTTCTTTAGAAGTTGTCCTGGGGTCTTTTGTGACCTCTCGGATGAGTTGTCTCTGCGCTCTTGGGGTAATTTTGGTCGGCCGCCCACTCCTGGGAAGGTTCATCATTGTTCCATGTTGTTGCCATTTGTGGATCATGGCTCTCACTGAGGTTCGCTGGAGTCCCAAAGCTTTAGAAATGGCTTTATAACCTTTACCAGACTGATGGATCTCAATGACTTTTGTTCTCATCTGTTCTTGAATTTATTTGGATCTTGGCATGGTGTCTAGCTTTTGAGGTGCTTTTGGTCTACTTCTCTGTGTCCGGCAGCTCATATTTCAGTGATTTCTTGATTGAAACAGGTGTGGCAGTAATCAGGCTTGGGGGTGGCTACAGAAATTGAACTCAGGTTTGAAACACCACAGTTGGGTTATTTTTTAACAAGGGGGCAATTATTTTTTCACACAGGGCAATGTAGGTTTGGATTTAGTTCTGTCCCTAAATAATAAAAACCATCATTTCAAAACTGCGTTTTGTGTTTACTTGTGTTATCTTTGACTAATGGTTAAATGTGTTTGATGATCAGAAACATTTTGTGAGACAAACATGCAAAAAAAAAAGAAATCAGGAAGGGGGCAAATAGTTTTTCACACCACTGTAAATATGTAAAATACATAAATAAAAGATTTTGGTGATGGAGGTGGATTTCTTGTACAGGTTCTGTAAAAGCAGGAAATAAAAGAATAACTTTTACTGAAGAAACTGGTTGGGACTGTTGAAATGTGATTTTTTATTAAATCTATCATCTGAAACCACACTCTGGTTCAGTCTCTGAGAGCTTTTGAAGGTAACAACCAATTCTGCTGATCCTTCAGGAAGACTGCTCCTGTTCCTCTTGCAGACAAATGCATTTTTGGGTTATAGGCTTTATTAAAAGATCAGACTAAATCCTTTCTTCACAACTTAAACTCCCTGCTGGGAGGCTGATCCTTTGCAGCCGAGACAAGAAAATGCATGCAAGAAACCGAAAATCGTTTTGGAGCGTTTTTTTTATTAAGAAATAACAACACAACATGGTCAGAAGCTTCAAAACCCACCTGTTTGTTTCAATTATTTAAACCATTACATATCATAAATAAAACTATCAAATATAAATGAGTATTTTTGTCTTGAATGTTCCTTTACCTTTTGATTTTCATGATGTGAACTGTATGAAAACATAAAAGATGACTCTAGATGGAGCTCTGACTGCAGGCTTCTCTGGTGAAAACCTCACATCAGCTCAGAGTTCATGACTCGTTCTGTGGTTGACCTCCTTCTTCTGCTCTTTTATTACATCAGTGTCTCATTGGGAATTGAATTCAAGTTTATTTATATAGCGCCAAATCACAACAAGAGTCGTCTCAAGGCACCAATAAACATCCCAATACAGGTCAGGTCATTAAGCCAATCAGAAAAAAGTTTCCTATATAAGGAACCCAGCAGGTTGCATCGAGTCACGGACTAGTGTCAGAGTCTTTACAGCAATCCTCATACTAAGCAAGCATGCAGCGACAGTGGAGAGGAAAACTCCCTTTTAACAGGAAGAAACCTCCAGAGAATCCTGGCTCAGTATAAGCAGCCATCCTCCATGACTCACGGTCGTACCAGGAGGTACAGACCTTCAGAGATCACAAGAATGTGAACGTGTGTTAGGGCCACTGAGAGGAAGAACAAAAACAAGGAGGAAGTGTTGAGATTATAGTTGGAAACAAGTCAAAATACAAGATAAAGTCAAGAGAAAACAAGAAAACGGGTGAAAAACCATTTTGAGAAATAAATGAAAATATTAATTGCTGGAAAAGTTGAAAGTAGGCTATCAGAAATCGTCCTGGGAAACAAAACCCTCACTCTGCTGTCAAGCTGATTATTATCGTTTAACCAAAGGTTCTGGTTTGATGAGTAAACTGTGTAAAACACGGTTCAGTATTTTAGACACCTCCACAGTGTTCAGAAACAAGAGGTCTTCCTTCAAAATAAGAGTCTCATGCTTCAAAGCACCTTAAGCTGGTAAAATACTGTCATGTAGTGGGGAACGTTATTAGTAGGGCTGCACGATACTAGGAAAAGCTGCGATATGCGATGACAGTGATTAATATTGCGATGATGATATTACTTGCGATAAATAAAAACTTAACTCAGGAACAAAAATAAACAAAAACAAAGAAATAATAAATTGACAAAAAAAAAAATAAAAATGAGAAAAGCAAAAGATGTGAGGAAAGAGAAAAAGAAAATGAACAGATAAAGGCAATCAGTGGATCCTAGGAAAAGCAGAATCAGCAGATTGATCAGAACTAAGCTAACTCAGGTGTTTGCTAACCGTCAAAATCCGCCTCGGGGGCGGGCATCTGACCTATGAGAACCCACTTGATTGGCCAAATGGGTGAAGAGCTCTATTTGATTTGCTAAAAAGACATCATGCTTCCGTTTGATTGACAGAATGCATCATGTGTAGCAAACATTTG